GAGAGAGAGAGAGAGAGAGAGAGAGAGAGATTAATTAAATTTCATTATAATTTACAGAGTTTCCTAAAGGGAGAAACGCAAATAATGGCGGATGAAGCGTTTCGAAATGCGATACAGAATTACTACGATGTGTTTCTAACGTCGGATCGTGTGATGCAAATGGTTCAAAGCGGTGCTTGCTCGCAACTCGACTTCCGTGAGGTGTTCAAGGAGAACATAAAGATTCGTGTTCTACGCTTCCCGGAAATCGATGGATTGAGCAAAGAGACTGTACTTACGTCCTGGTTGGCCAAATTCGATTGTATCATGAAAGGTACGGGGGACGAGGAGACCAAGAGGCCCTCCAGGATGCAACAACAGTCTTTGATCTCGGAGATGATTCTGCCGAAGGAGCAGCTGTACGACATGTTTCAGCAAATTCTTGGCATCAAGAAGTTCGAACATCAGCTTCTGTTCAACGCCCTCCTGTTGGATTCAGCCGACGAACAGGCTGCCGCCATCAGGAGGGAGCTGGATGGTCGCCTCCAAAAGGTCAACGAGATGGAAAAGGTAGTTCAAATTTTTCCTCCCCTCTTTCCCCCTCCTCTCTTTCACTCTTTCATTACATTTTCAAATTCAAACATACCTACGTGTTTCCATAGAATCGCAAGCTTATGCCCAAGTTTCTCGTAAAAGAAATGGAGTCGCTCTACATCGAGGAACTAAAGTCGTCTATCAACCTGTTGATGGCTAATTTAGAGTCATTGCCAGTCTCGAAAGGTTCGACAGACAGCAAATACGGGCTGCAGAAGCTGAAGCGCTGCAATCACCGTCGTGAGCGCTCCCGCTGCCGCGGTCAGGGTTCCCTCGTTAAATTGGAGAGCGACTCCGCTGACTCGGAACCACAGCTAACCAAAATGGACGTAGGCCTCACCTTCCAATTGGCTGTCGTGGTTGTAGAGGTCAGGGGTTTGAAGAGTTTACCACCCAACAAGATCGTCTATTGCACGATGGAAGTCGATCGTGGTAAAAAGCTGCAAACCGATCACGCCGAAGCCTCGAAACCTATGTGAGTAGTAACGAATGTATCTATCCTCGAAACCATACATTCGAAAAACGAACCGAAAATAGTATATTTTCGCGTCGTATTCGAAGCGAAAATAACGTCCGAGCGGAATCGTTTTAAATCGACAAAAAACTCTGTTTGTTTTTATGTCGTTTTTTATGTCATCCTTCGCCACTCGTTCGCTCGTTTCGCTTTCGTCTCGCTCTTTTCTCTCTCTTCTTTCCATTTCTCTCCTTCTCCCACCCCCCTCCTTTTTCTCTCCTCTTTCTCTCTCTCTCTTTCTTTTTCTCTCTTTCGCCGCGTCGATTTGCAGGTGGGACACTCAAGGCGATTTTACCACCATGCAACCTCTACCGCTGGTCAAGGTTCGACTCTATACCGAGAATTCGGCGATGCTCGCACTCGAGGACAAAGAACTGGGCAAAGTGAATCTACGACCTACACCGTTCTCCTGTAAACACCCGGAATGGTATCGAATGTCTGTCCCGAAAAATTGTCCCGATCAGGAACTTCTCATCAAAGTTGGTTGCCGAATGGATAAACCGTTCAACATGAAACATTGTGGCTATCTTTACGCGATGGGCAAATCCGTGTGGAAGAAATGGAAGAAACGATACCACGTGTTGGTCCAAGTCTCCCAATACACGTTCGCAATGTGCTCGTATAAAGAGAGAAGGAGCGAGCCATCGGAGATGATGCAACTCGACGGTTATACGGTTGATTATATCGAACCCCTTTCGGCCAATCTGATGGTCGGCATGGATTTAGATGAGGGAAGGTACGCAATCGTGTTGTCTACACTATCGTAACGAGTTATTATCAAACTCGATCGATCGAATTATTTAATATTTAGCATTCGTATCTAATTGTATTTGATCGAAAATCATTATGACGCGATACGATACAATTCTTTTTACAGATTTTATTTTAACGCTGTTCGCGAAGGGGACAATATAGTATTTGCCGCGGATGACGAGAACGAGTGTCAAACTTGGGTAATGGTCATGTACAGAGCGACCGGTCAATCCCACAAACCGACCCCGCCTGTATCCGTGGCGGACAAAAATTCCACCATCAGTAAGATACAGGGAGACGCCGATCGAGCGAAAAAGCATGGAATGGAGGATTACATTAGCGCGGATCCTTGCAAGTTCGATCATCACTTCCTCTTCAAATTTTTGCAAAATTTGGTTCTGGATTATCGATTGAACGATCCGTACTGTTCTCTCGGTTGGTTTTCACCCGGTCAAGTATTCGTTCTGGACGAGTACTGCGCGAGGTAAAACGATTTCACACGATTACACGACAAAATAATCCAACATATTTTTTTACATATGTGCTTATATATATATATAATCCAACATGTTTTTTTACATATGTGCTTATATATATATGAAAAAAAAAGAAAAAATATCGTTCCATTTCGTTTTTTTTCACAGATACGGAGTTCGAGGATGTTTTCGACATTTATGCTACTTGAACGATTTACTCGATAGAATCGATCGCGGTTTAATGATCGATCCAACCTTGATTCACTTTAGTTTCGCGTTTTGCGCCACTCACGTTTACGGGAATCGCACGGATCGAGTCGGTTCCATCACTCACGAGGAGAAGGAAAAGTTTCAAGACATCAAAGAGAGACTCAGGCAAATTCTCGAAGAACAAATTACCAATTTCAGGTATAAACGAACGTGTCGTCGTATATTATAAGATAACAACGATTCATTTTCTTTCTATTAACTTTTATTAATTTCGTTAATTAATCTCGTAAAAACACAGATACAGTTTTCCCTTCGGTCGGCCGGATGGCGCGTTGAAGGCTACCTTGTCCCTGTTGGAACGAGTGATGATGAAGGATGGCGTCAGTCCTGTGCCTCAAGAGGAAGTGAAGACATTGATCAAGAATTGTCTCGAGAAGGCCGCTCTCGTCAATTATACGAAGCTCTCTGCCGAAGCGAAAATCGAAGACGATTTCAGCGGTGAGGTTTGCGTCCCGCCTAGCAAGAAACTCGAGGATCTCATACACCTTGCCGACATGTGCGTCGATCTGCTTCAACAAAACGGGGAGCACTATTCGAAGGTATTAGTTGGGTTTCTACAACTGAGTATCATCTTCTCTTGGATCCTCGAGAAGTAAGATCGCACGTTAGAATAAGAAAGGATAAACGGTAATCACGATCACGTCTCGCGTCCATTTTTATCATTTTTACTTACTAAATCGAATCGATCGATATGATTTGAAAAGATATACGGAATATTTACAACGTGTGCACGTTTCAAATTTTATTTTTCTATTTCTTATATACTTTCGTTTTGGTTAACGTGTATCCCGTATACGTGTTAATTTTCGTTTAAATTTGCAAGATTATGTTTAAAGATCAGATTGTATACGATTTAACTTGATCGTATTTACCGTTACTCGAGGATTCTTCGATTCAGGGTGACGATTCCATCGCCCCTTGACCAATACCCTCTCGTATACGTACATATGTGTGACGTCCAATATTTTCACGAGTCGCTCCTACTACACTGTACCGCAGGCGTTCGCCTGGTTTAGCGATCTTATGGTGGAGCACGCCGAGATCTTCTGGTCTTTGTTTGCCGACGATATGGACAAAGTGCTCGCCGAACAACCACGGGATACTTGGGACAGTTTTCCA